GCTAACTCTTCTAGGTCTCTTATTTGGCAAAAGATGATCTTCTTATAAATACATTTCAAAATATAATCACATTTTCATTCAATCTTCCAGGGGAATCCCTTGATCAGCATTTTCGTGTAGCTCGCTTGAGTTATGAGATGTACGCAACAGCTTCTTGACTTGAACTTATTTTTTTTTCTCTTTAGACAAAACCTTATGCTTTAATGAGTCTAAAACATTAATGTTTGAAATGAAAATTAGTAGCCATAACAAGTGGGTCATTCAAGCATTAATACACAACAAAAAAAATATTATTTCAAGCACATAGATGAAAAAGATGGATGTAAATCTCATAAACAATATGAGAACATTCATGACAACATAAGATTTAGCAGGCTCATTTTAAAAGTGTAACATGCTCAAAGTTTATAGATACCTCTTACTTGACATGGCTAAAATATCATACATTAATTTAATCACAAGAGAAGAAAAATAGTAGTATAACAACATACCCCTAAAACTATCAACTTGAGTGCCTTATAGAAACCAAAAATCTTTCCTTCACTATCAAATGTAGCCTACAACTTATCTGGCTTAAGCATTCTGTCTATGTTTACTTGCTCCACACAAATTAAATAAGTGATTTTATATGTCAACTAAGAAATGTAATATTAATGATAATAGATGAAGAAGAATATAACTTAGTTTTTATGAAAAACAACAATCCCCTATATCTAGATTAAAAGATGCAGTGAATTCTCCCCTAGATGACCAATGCCTATATACAAAACTAAGAGGAAGCTGCAATCTGTGATGGCATTAATTTATGAAATAGAGTGCAAGAAAGAAGTTAAAACCAGTCCTCAATATCTCAATTTGTAACGCAACTTATTGTTATAACCCCATACACTAAAGCAAGAGCATTTTCAAAAACTAGGAATATGAGATGCTAAAATGCTATTGAACACTTAAAACTTATAAATAGAGATAATAGAGTTGCTCAATCCCTTTACATAGCATGTGCAATACTTCCCCTTTAAAGAAGGCATGTGAAGAGTACCAAATAGAAACCATAAAAATACCTATAGATTTTAAATGTTAGAGGTTTTAAATTTTAAAGCCCAATATATGCATTGAACTAGTATTGTTGGTCATCAACTCTTTCCTAACGCTATTTCACACATAAAGTAAAAAAGTGCAAATCAAGAATAATTAACCAAAGTCAAACTTATTTTTAAACTTGACAATTAAGGGTGGATTCAAGGAGAGGAGACCCAATATTCAAGGAAATTGGAGCAATATGAAAAATATTTGATTTCGACATAATCAAGATGATGCGTACCACTTTTCAATCATTCTTAACCTCGTTCGACCAAGTCCTCACTCACATAGCCGATTACTCCTCCGTCGACACTGTCTATCACGACTAGTCGACCATCGCTTTGTCTCTCTAGTTCTTCCATTATCTAGTTCTCCAATGGGGTTGCCTTTCTCAAAACTTGTCACTCACAACTCGCCCATATCTCATATGGTCGTTGCTGCTCCTTCAAGTCTGTCCTTCACTATCAACCATTGCACAACATTCTAAATTTTTATGTTTCTCTAAATCCTGCGAAGAAAGAAAGATAAAAGGATGGTTTTCTTTTTCAAATTTTTTTATTTAAGACAGAGGCATTTTGGTTAGATGATAATATTGTTAAGTGAATAAAAGATTCAGCTTGATCCTTTAAGTATATTTGGTCCTTTGGATTAATTTTGATTCCAACCAAGTCCTTTTTATCAATTTTTCCATAAAAATAAGCAACATATCATTTCAAAATCTTTTTTAAAATTTATGTCCTTTGGGCCAAGCCCATCTTATCATAGTCCCAACTTGGGCTAAGTTACGTTGCGGGTTAAAAAAAAAGGGACCAGAGTACCCTTTTTTGTCGAAGAGAGGGAGAGATAAAAAACAAAAAACAAAAACAAAAAGGGATTAAGTAAAAGTTCGGTGGGAATGATTTAAATCCTATTGGTTTATTTGCTCCATATATTTCTCACATCGTCATCTTCTTCAGTTCTGAATAAATTCTTTTTTTAAAAAAAAAATTGGACATATCTAGTGACATTTGTTTATTGAGAGAGTGACAGATAAATCCATCTACATAACAAAATGGCAAAGCAAGACTATAAAATGGGGTAATGTTTTTCAAAGTCACTAAAGATTTATCTGACATTAAATTTTTCACGAAATAATTATAATACCCCCAAGATAAATGACAACTTCAAATTAACAACGGCTACGGCAAGTGATTAAAATAGTGTAATAATAACTTTCATTTCTCAACGCTTATAAAATGAAATTGAAAAAGTAAAAGTAATCATTTCCTACATTATTTTAATTATTGCTCAATGAAAATCCTCATCAAGTAAGTACTCATTTCTAACCTTAATTTTATTAGTTTCATTAATAAAAATTGTTGATATTGAAATTTTAAATATTAATAAAACAGTATTATATGTCAATATATTAAGTTTACTTTTTAAAAATAATATTTTTTTCAATTACAAAGCAAGAAAAGATTGGGGAAACAATTTTTTTAAAAAATAACAACAACTGATAAAAAAGCTCATAATTTGAGACCGATGATGATAAAATTAAAAGACGTAGAAGATATTTTTAATTAATTAAGGGACTAAACTAAAATTATATATATAAAGTTAAAAGATACTAGACTGATTTCATAACAAGTTTGATCCTCCATCTATTAAAAGAATTTAAAAAGTAAAAAAATTAAATTAAATCCGGACCATCTAATTTTTAATTTGGATGGCTCAAGTTAAAGACAAGCTATTCCTGTCATTAATTGATAAGCTATTCATATTAATAAATACGAAACAATATTTCTATAAAAATTATAAAATATTGTTTATACTGGTTTGATTGTCTCTAATGTCGAATGTTAATTGAATGAACGCTCGCGAAATCTGACTATATTTTGTGTGTATTGGGGCGAAAGGGTCTATCATGATAAACGAAGTATTAGTCACGCAACAGCACAACGTAAGGTTGCTTTCCTTATTGAGTTTGACAAAATAATAATAATATCCTGCAGAAGCAAAGTCGGTAACGATTTGCCCAAACCAATAAGTATTCGCCACATCTTTACCATTCCCATTGACTCGGAGTCAGCGCAGCCCGAAAAGTCAATTCAAATGTCTTGACTTTTCAAACATGTTTTATTTTTGCATCTGAGCCCCAATTTTGACCAAGTGTATTCTCTTTTGCTTGGATTGACCTCAATCACTATCCTGTGAGAGCCCGCATTGGTTTTGAATTTTGATTCTCGTGTTCATCTCAAATTTTCGAATTGACTTTATAAAATTATTATTTTTATATTTTTATTTTATAAAATTATGTTAACTCACTTATAAATTTAAATTAAATAAAACTCAATTAAATTTATGAGTTAATTTTTTAAATTTATCGTTTTTATGTGTCTAATTTATAAAATCGTGTTAATCTGCTCATAAATTTATTAAGCAAGATAGATATATACTATGTAAAATTTGATTCAATGAAAAATAAAACTTAAAAAGCAAAAAATTAATATTAATAAAAAAGGAAACAAATAAATATCAAAAATAAGTTGTCATATTTTAAAAGTTTTATATTAAGCATAATAATCTATAAATGTAAATAGATTCAATTTCAATGATTTATACATAAAATATATTTACATTAAATTATTATCATATTTTATATTTTAATTATCTAATCATATTCTTTTAAAGAATATTTATTAATAGAGGTAAACTTTGACGAGTTTATAATTTAAGTCTACTTTTCAAGTTTATATCCCTATCATAAATCCTTGCCTAATAAGCATTTGGGATCCATATTTACTAATTTTTTATACTTCAATTTTATATTGATTAAAAAATATAACATTTTAATAAATTTATTTCATCATCATCTAGAAAATGCAGACTTAATTTGGATTATTCAATTTAATATTACTTTTTTTATAATTTTAATAAATTAATTGTTCATATGTATTTTAAATAAGGTAAAATTTATTAAAAGTTTATCATTTTATTTTAATAAATATAAAATGAAAACTGGAAATTTGGATGATATAGATACTTATCTGATGTGTACCATGGTGCCCGGACGCACACTATGGTGGTTGCTCCAGAAAATTCTCATAAATAAGCTTGATTGATCCTTTATGATAAAAAACAGTTTGTTATTTGTTCATTTGTTAATTTCTTTATAAAATTCATATTATTAATTTCAAAAACATTGACTAGGCATTGTTAAAACATAGATTTGACTATGTTTCATACAATATGCATAATATATAAAAATGATAATTTAAAAAACAAGATTATACCTATGTTTCTAATTTTCGAATCTTGTTTCAATGTATAGAAAAATATTAAATGATTAAAAATAAATACATTAATCCACGACCTAATATTGCACCAAACTATATTAATATTAGCATTCGCTTCTCAAACTAATGAAATGATGGTGGCTGTTTGGCCAAAAAACAAAAAATGATTGTGTCTACTTTTCTTATCACGCAAAAAGAAATCAACACGGCCAAGGGAAAATATGTACAAAATACTATGTGGAATCAATTATACTATTTGTAAATAATATTAATTACATAATTTTTCATACATTTAATAGATATTTATTATTTTATTTAATCAAGCATAATATAAACAAAATTTGTTAGTCAAGTGAATTTTTCATATATTTTATGTTTATTTTGTCTAAAATTAAGACCACTAGGAACAAAATTGATTGGTCCATTTTTTATTCATTTCCCATCCCGAAACAACGAAGCCTCAGTCATTGCAACGTTAATATATTTGTGTTCTTTTTTTTTTTTTAATAAGAAAGAGCTGGATTATGATAAAATTCTTTTTGGGAAAAAAAAAAAAAGAAAAAACGAACGAAGCCACAACGTGAGCCCTCATGCTTTAGTACATAATATATGTCTTCGATCCCCGCCGTCCAACGACTTAAAGACAAGTCGAACGGCTCAGCCATCTCGGAACTGTCCAGATGATCTCGTCACCTTCGCAACATTTTCTTCCCTTCTTCAATAATGGAGTTTCCCATCAGATGGCAAATAGAAAATGACTGCGAAAAGAATCATTTCATTGCTTTCTATATATATAGATGTCCGTTGTTTCTGAGCGGCACACGATCAACTAGCAGGTCAACAACAATTCTTCATCATCATCATGAAGCACTTTCTGGTAAAATCTGTGGTGGCTAGAGTTCTGGTCTCCGGCGGCGCCCGGAACTTTAACCGCCAAATTGCAACAGCGTCGGCGGCACCGGATCTGAATCTCCGGCATCTCTGCGGCTACTGGCCAAGGATGTCGTCGACCTTGGCCCCGTCTCCGGCTGAGAAGGAGCAGCAGCATGAGAAAACAGTACCGGAGGAGAAGGAGAACGAGAACGAGAACGGCGTCGTTTCAAGCTACTGGGGGATCTCCAGGCGGAAGATTAAAAGAGAGGATGGGACTGAGTGGCCTTGGAACTGTTTTGCGGTACCAATTAACGATTATTTGAGCGATTTGACTTTGTAAAGTTATTGGTTTTACACCTAAATTAAACCGTGATTAATAATTAATTAACAGTATGCTTAACTATGCTTTTTTCACAGCCGTGGGACACTTATCGTGCAGACGTGTCAATCGATGTAACAAAGCATCATGTACCTACCACTTTCTGGGACAAATTTGCTTTCAGGACAGTGAAATTCCTTAATGTTCTATCACATCTGTATTTTCAGGTTTGTTCTCTCTTTCTTTTTATATATTATATTCTAATCTGAGAAGGTAGTTGATTTGCCGTCTTAATTTGAAAATTTGTGATGGAGAATACATATACGTTCAATCTATAAAAAGCTAATATTACTATATGTTGTAAACATATAAATGCAACTATAATATACCTAGAAATTCTGTTATTGGACCGTGAGGTTTGTTAACTATATGTAACAGATTGTCTATATAATTCACATATATATGTTTCAACTTGTTTTTTTAAACACACGTTGACGTCTTCCAGCAAATTTTGTGTCTATCTATCCTAATTAAATCTCATTTTAATTTAGCCAATCTTTGAGGAAGTAATTTCTGTATAAATGTTAAGGGTATGTTTGAAATTGTTTTATTTTATTGTTTTGAGAATTGATATATTGAAAAACATATTTTAAAAATAAAAAATAATAAAAAAATGTATTTTTTTCACATTTTTTCTTATTCTCCATAACAATAATCTGAAGTTCAAACAACTAAAAAATATTCCAAAACAATATTTGATTTTTTTATTCTTCAAAACATTTTTAAAAATATATTACTAAATAGATTTTTTTGTTTTTTAAAAATAGAAAACTATTTCTAAAATGCTCCAATTCTCTTAACTTTGAGACGTAAGTTTGAAATTACATCAGTAAGAAGACACGATAACATAAACGAAAAGGTTTACTGATAAATTTGTAAATTAATTATTACACACTAGACAAAAAGGAGAAGAGTATATATCCCTCTATATAATATAATTAAGCATCAAAACAAGCATTTACTACTCCCTATAAGAAAGAAAGTAAGAATTGCATCCTTATACAATCTACCCCCATATTATTAGAGCCGAATTCAAATTAACTATATAAAGTCATGTCCAAGCCATGAACTTTGAGGAGTCATAAGCTCGTATGAGTTATGAATGGCTTGACTTAAACAAGTAGCTTAAACCTGTTTTTTTCACGGCTTATAAAAGGGTTGTGCTCAGAAAAAAGGGCTTAACAAATTATCATCCCTAATACTAGAGCCCAATTCAAACTATGGCGATGTTAATACTAGTCCCTAGACATATTTTTCATGTATTACATGCATGCGATCTGAGGAGTTGTGAGATAAAGATGACTTATATGAATAATGCGACTTGTTATAATATTAATAGGAGCGATATGGGTGCCACGCGATGATGCTGGAGACGATCGCGGCGGTGCCGGGGATGGTGGGAGGGATGGTACTGCATCTGAAGTCCCTCCGGAAGTTTCAGCACAGCGGAGGGTGGATCAAGGCACTGCTAGAAGAAGCAGAGAACGAGAGGATGCACCTGATGACGATGGCGGAGCTGGTGAAGCCGAGCTGGCACGAGAGGCTTCTGGTGATAACGGCTCAGGGAGTGTTCTTCAACGCCTTCTTCATGTTCTATCTCATCTCTCCCAAAGTGGCTCACAGGTTCGTAGGCTACTTGGAGGAGGAGGCTGTGATTTCCTACACTGAACACTTGCAGGCCATTGAAAGTGGGAAGGTGGAGAACGTTCCGGCTCCGGCCATCGCCATTGATTACTGGAGGCTTCCTAAGGATGCTACTCTTAAAGATGTTATCGTTGTTATTCGCGCTGATGAGGCTCACCATCGCGACGTCAATCACTTTGCTTCTGTGAGTCTTCTTTCTCCCTCTTTGCTTCCTTATTATTAGTTCTATGTTTCCTTTTGAATGATCCAACATGAATTCTGTGGACTGCGAGTGGTTTAGGGGAGGTTTAAGTTACCTCAACAATGCAAAATACTCCAGTTAAGTACTACGGTAGTTCATAAGACAATTTTAAACGTGTGATTTTCCAAAATATTAATTTGACTAAAATAAATAATATTTATATTAAATATATACTTCTCTAGCATTACTTTTCTCTCCTTATTATATTCTTTCTCTTTAAAATTATTAAATGAATAGCATTTTTGGCACATTTATTTGAAAAAATAAAGTTATAAAGTCTATTTAAAGATTTTTATTAGTATGTATATATTTTTTTTTAAATTGTCTTATAAATTAGGATAGATGAAGGACCAATAAAACATATTAATAATAGTCAGGTCCTTGATAAATTTTTTTAAACCATAAGTTATAAATATTGATTCAAATAATTGTATATAAATTCAAGAGTTTTAATTACAAAGTAAGACATTTAAATTTGAAACCTAAGTTATAGATATTGCATCTTGTTTATAATTATTTGAATCGATATTTATAATTTATATTTTTAGAAAGTTTTGTTAAGGATTTAATTATCATTAATTTAATCTTTTTGAACTTTACTATTATTCTCCCACGCAGATCAATGGAGACACTTCCGCATGCCTATGCCTTCACATTTGATTCTTTAAAAAAAATAAATAACAACAACATATTTTTTCATATTAATTTTTTTCATGTAATTAGATTCTTGTATCTTACATTGACAAGCATAGGTTATGCTGTTTTTAAAAAAACTAACACGCATTTTTTATGAGTACATCTATAACTAATTCATTTATTTATTTTAATATGTGTGAATTAGCTAGCTAACTAATTTACCTATTTTTCTATATTTAAAGGGGTGGATGGATAATTTGCTTGTTGAGAAACAACTATAAATTGTTTGGTTTCATTTTGTCTTAATCCTATCATCTATTTGATGCAGGATATACAATATCAAGGGAAGGAACTGAGGGAGGCACCAGCCCCCATTGGCTATCATTAATTATTTTATTCCCTTTTATTTTTGCCACATTTAATATAATTAAATGTTGTATCATTGTAGAGTTGTTGATTGTTGATGACTGATTTATTAATAAAAATGTACAATAATTTTTTTTAAAAAAATTAAACAATCCAAACGTGTCTTTTGCCAGATTGTGAAGGAATGTTTTGCTCGTTTTTAAGTGAGAGAAGTCGATACTGCTGCAGCTTGTGTCACTAATTAATGGTCTAATAATGCCCAAAGGCATTGAGAAATGAATTTTATAATGAATTCTGTATTTTTTTTTTTCCAAAACAATGTATTAGTGTACATTGAAGTGTCAATCATGGTTGTCATTATTAGGAAAAATTAAATGTTTAAGGGTCCTTCTAAAATATCCATCACAATTAAAAATCTTGAAATTTTAAAAAAGATCAAGTTACTTTGTTGAAATTAAACTTTTCTTAAGTTAGTTTTTTAATACTTATTTTTCATATTTTTGTAACCCACCTTCCATATTTTTACTATATATATATTTAGCATTTTTAATACTCCCTCCATTTAAAAATATAAATTACTTTTAATCTTTTAAAATGTAATCATTATCTTCTTTTTTTTTAAGTTCTCCTATTAAATAAATTACTTTTATTTTTTTAGGGTGTAAATAGGAATAAATATAGAAATATAGAGTTAATTTAAATATAAATAACTACGTTATTAGGGGTAAGATATAATTAAAAATGCCTTATATTTTTTAATAGAAGAAGTAGTAAATTTTTTAAAAAAATTAATATTTATTTTAAATTTTTGCAAAACTCATTTCCCACATTTAATTTCAATACTTAACTAAGATTCTTTTCAATATTAAAAATATATAAAAAAGTCCTAAAAATTGAATTGAATTAAATAATGAATACTATGATCTTTCAGGGGGAAGAGCACAACCTCTAACCTCTTTATAATAAATAAATGAGAGTTTTATGTTTTGGAAGTCTGTATATAATGGACAATTATATATTCTCTTCATTTAAAAATATAAAATATTTTTTAAAAAGTTGGATGTTCAAAATGTAAGTTATTTTTAATCTTTTAAAGTGCAATCATTATTCTTTTTTTTAAAGTACCCTATTGATGAATAATTTTATATTTATTGTAAGGTATTTAATATGTGTAAATATGAAAAGATATAATTAGTTTAAAAATAGGTAGCTATTTTATTGAGTAATGAGATTCGGTTAAAAATGTTTTATATTTTTTAACAAAAAGAGTACCAATTATCCCTTGAATTGCATTTCTTAAAAATTTCTTTTTTCAATTTCATTAAATTAGCAAATTGAAATTGATATTATTAAATGCATAGCGACCAAGTCAAACATTTAACAAGGCTAATTTGTCAAAACAATTAGATATTAAACATAGTATTTATGATCTCGTATAATAAAAAAAAAAAAGCATATATTTAGGGATGACGAAGCTTTTAGCAGTCCTTCAAATTTAATTTTTATTAATTTAATCTTTAAAAATTACATCAATTATTGATTTGGCCTTTAAGTAACACTATTAAATAGTAACATGGATAAAGACATATAGATGACAGCTATGCATATTAATATAAAGAAGTGCAATTAAGTATATACAAAAATGTATTTAGAATTTTTTTTAAAAAAGGAACAAACAAAATGTAAGGAACTAGATTGATAGAAATTAAACTAATATGATATATAATTTATTTTTATTTGTTTAGATTAATTTGAAAGATTGTTTGTGTTTAAAAACTTAAAGGATTGACATGATAATTTAAAAAAATGTAGGGAGTTAAAAATTAAATTTGAAAAACCAAATAGATAATTGAACAAAGAATGAAAATTTTGTTATCATTATTTATTAATCTTAAGCTAAAATATACCGAATTCTCTTAAATTTTGAAATAGTTGATTAGAACCCCCTCACATTTAAAAGTTACCTCCTTAATATTTATGTTATGTTTGGATACATATGAATTTGAATTTAGATTTGAATTTGAATTAAATTCATTGTTTGGGTAATAAAAAATGTATAAATTTAGATTTGACTCAAATCCAAATCTAATTTCTACCTCAATCTCTTTATAATTTAAAATTCTTTCTAAACCCCTATTATTTCAAATCTTAGCACAATCTCTTTTGTAATTTGACCTAAATCCACGAAAGCTTGATCGGCTTGCCTACAGTAATTGGACCGAACCATTGAAGTTGACGGAAATAAGTTGCCAACGTTGATCAAAATTAGATGGTCGGCTTTTATTGGGATCGAACCAACAGTGATGATTGGAACAGGACGACAGACTTCAACTAGGACCTAACTGATAGGGATGATGAAGGGGAACGGACGACAGACTTTGAGCAGAACTGAATCAACGGTGAGGACGAGGACCAAATGACCGACTTCCATCTGGATCAGACCGATGATGATGATGGGGATCGGACGGCTAACTTCTATTGGGATGGGACCGATGTCGACAACGAGTACCAAATGACCAACTTTCATCAGGACCAGACTATTGACGATAACTGCCCTATCTTGATCTTTGCTGTTGGTTTGTTCCAGTGGAAGTTGATTGTCTAATCCTTGTCATCACCGTCAGTTTGGTCTTAGTGAAAGTCAATCGTCCTGTACCCATCATTGTAGTCTATTTGGTCCCTTGTTGTCGTCGTCGTCGTCGTCATCTCGATCTTTTCCTGTCCAAGTTGTCACAATCAATTCGATCTTGGTAGAAGTTGTCGTCCAGTCCCTGTCATTGTGTCAATTTGGTCCGGCTAGAAGTCGACCGTCTCGTCTAGGTTATCGTCGTTAGTTCGTTCCCAATGGAAGTCGTCATCCAGTCATCCAATCCCCATCATCACGTTGATTCAATCCCGTTGGAAGTTGGCTGTCCTGTCTCGATCTTCGCCGATGCTACAATCCTAGTTGCTTTTTACCATCTGATCCTAGAGGAAGTTAGCTATTCAGACCATCAAATTTGACTAGTCATCCAATTTTTTTAAAAAAATTTAAATATAAAATATAAAATATAAAATTTTACTTTTGATCCAAAAAAAAAAATGTAATGTTATAATTTGAAATTTTTTTAAATCATTCAAACAAAGAATTTAAAATCTATAAATTTTAAATATGAGATTTTAAATTTAAATTCTCAACTTAAATTCATCCATCAAAATGCAACCTTTTTTTTTTAACCACAAATTCATTTATTGTTATTTTAAGTTATCTTGCTAACAAAAGTTGTGCTATCATATTTAAAAAAAGATACATAGTAACTTATATTGTATTTGATATAAGCTAATAATTACAGGAAATAATATGAATAAAATTTTTATAAAGCTATTATTAATTGACGACAGATGCCACATAAATTACTATATCTTTTGTTAATATGGATAGCAATTTTTGTTAATAAAATAACTAAAAAACAATTATAGAAGAGTCTTCGAATAAAAAAAGATGAGGGAGATTAATTTTAAATTTTTAAACGTGATTTGTTATACAACTAATTCAAACTTTAAAAAAGTTTTGTATGCTTTATCGTTCATAATCCATTTATCAGAATCAAAATCTCTAATTTTTCTCATAGTAATCGGGTCTGCTATTTCCAAACAGACATGGAGTGAGTTTGGTCGGAGGGTTTGAGAAGGTTTGAATTCCGCGATAAGTCATGTTGCCTTGTGTCGAATGGAATTTTCTCAAAAAAACAGAGTTGCTCAACAAACCTGATTGGAACCATTTTCATTTTGTCTTGTTTTTTGTTTTTAACTTCTATCGTTTTTACTTTTTTTACCAAAACCGCTAAGTCATCGCCCGCCAGAATCAGTAGATGGCCGGCAGATAGATAGAATAGTGGTGGTGTCTAGGTGCTGCAGAACTTTCTGCCACTGCAATGGATTCTGCGCATATGGCTCTCTTCAGAGCTCTGAACCGCCATTTCTGCAGAGCTTCTTCGAGTCAATGCATTCCCACGGTGCTTCTCCATCGTAGGCTAAAATGCCTCTCTCATAACCATGCTACTCGCAAGTCCAGCTCTTTTTCTTCTTCTTCTTCTTCTCCATCGCTCAGGAGCTTGTGTGAGGTGGTCACCCGACTGCCCTGCCGTTTCCGCTGTGTTTCGAGCTCCGCTGCTTCGTTTGCTTCTTCTGGCTCCGGAAATGGCGGCATTGGAGGGGTGGGTGGTGGTGGAAACGGTGGCGACGGTGGTGCCGGTGGCGATTCTGGAGATGCCAATATCAAATTAGTTGGTGATGGCGGTAAAGAGCTTTCGGCACTCTCGCCTGATGTTATTATTCTCGATGTTGCGGTATGAGCTATTCTCGCACTCTATTCCGTGTTCTCAGAGGCGGCCATTACTTCTTCTAATACATACCCTGCTTTTTGCTGATAGGGAATGGTGTGTGGGGGATGTGCGGCTAATGTGAAAAGAATTCTTGAAAGTCGAGTAAGTTGCTCCTATTTTAATTTGACTAATTGCTTTGCATTATTTGAAAGAAAGATGCTGGGAGTATTCACATCCTTTCCACAGGTGTTCTGTTCAGTTTACTCAGCAAACTGATTGGACATTATGATCTTGATGAGCATGCATTATAATGAACAGAATAATGGCGGCGGAATCATGCTGATATATTTCAAAGCAAAACTATATTCTCGGGTCCCAGAATTCATAATTCATAATTTCAATTTGCTTATTTGTTTACGTACTTGCATCTAAGAATATGACTTGGAAATTATGGTAAAAGAAAATATGACTTGGTGATGAGTTGGTGGAGATGGAGTCCAAAGGGGTTGCAGGGGCATTGAGGTGTAACTGCAGAGAACCCATTGACAAAGCGGCAGATCTAACTTATTGTCGAAGAACTGATTGATTTTGTTTTGAATTATTACTTGGGTTACTGAAAACTGAAAGCCATGACGTTGGTCCAGCGTCCATGCAGGGGTGTAACAAGGACCTTGGTGTTATACCTAATAGCCTGGGATTTTGCTGTCTTTGAACTTGATACAAACCCAAAGCTCCTTAATTACTCCTCTAGTCATTGGTTTGTCTTGCATCGGGCATTGATCCTGTGATAAAAAAAAAAAAAAAAGTGGTGCTGTACCATATGGTATGGTGTTGGAAATTGTCAGATCATGGCAATTTTTGATTCTAATGTGTGTGTGTGTGTGTGTGTGTTTCTTCTACCATATGCCTTCAGTTCTATGGCCCTTAACCCCCTGGACTCTGGTGAAACCACTTACATTTTGCCAAAATTATAAATGCCTCTGGAAATATCACCAAGAAGAGTGAAAGTGTGTTGGCACTTGAACTTAGGGGTAGAAAAGGAACAAACAAATAACCTTGGCAAAGAAGTCTGGCTTGTTACGAAATTGAAAATTTGGGTACCTTACTCTTTAGCAGTTACATTCAAATGATTTATCATTATTTTCCCTCTTAGAGTAGCTCTTACATTCCACATTTGTACTGCCAAATGCAGCCTAAGTAGCCCTAAACCTAAGGTGAACTAAGGGGAAGTGTTGAGCAGGTTTTAAGGTTACTTGTCCTTGATACTCTCTTTTACTAAACAAAATGAATAGAAAACAAAGATAAAAAGCAGAAAATGTGTATTGTTCTTAAAATGCTGTGTTTTCTTTCAATTCGCGAATATATGATTCTTTCATGTCTGCATCTAAATTGATGCTCTTTATCTGTTGTTTTAAGGACAGCCTCAAGTGTCATCTGCTACTGTAAATCTAACAACCGAGACAGCAATAGTTTGGCCCGTATCTGAAGCAAAAACTGTACCAAATTGGCAAAAGCAATTAGGAGAGGCACTTGCAGAGCATTTGACTGGCTGTGGTTTCAAGTCTAGCCTTCGGGGTATTGCTTCATGATCACCAATATTTTCAATACGTCATTTAGTTTCTTTACATTTTTTAGTCTTGTTAACATAGGGAAGGCAACAATACAAGGATATTTCTTTATAAACTACATTGTGAAGCAGAAGAAAAGGAATTATGTTGTTCGGGTCTCAGAGATCTTAAAGCATGTGATAATATTATCAGTTTGATTGTGTTTTAAACTATTAAGGAAAGATGTTGAAACGAAGCAATTTAGTAGTTTCATTGGCTCTTAGGTTTACTGTTTTTGGTTTTCCTGTTTTGGAGGATATCTGATCCTTGTCTTTGTTGTATTTTTTTCTCTTCTAAAATCACTTTTCTTGTTTGATAAGAAATTTATGTCCTTATGCCTTACTTTCCATCAAGTTTCCTTCTTGAGATAATCCTTTGAGACATACTAAGGCTCTCCAAGACAACCTCCTCTAGAAAAAATATGGAACCCTCTCCCTCCCCAAGGGTTGCATGAATGTTTTTGAGTTTGTGACCCATTGGTAAATTGCATATGTATAAGGAACGAGAAAGCAAAATTTTCAAAGACAAGAGGATCTTTGTTTTCAAGTTATTGAACCCCTTTGCATGCATAATAAACATTTTTTCACCTGCGGCTTAATGTGCCCCCTTGATCAACATGTAGAAAATTACTAATTACTAATTTCACTAACAACCTATAAATGGAAACCTCCAACATCCTTACTGCACAAGCGCTGCAGCTTTTAGCCTAACCTGATTAAATTGTTAACTTCATAGTTAAAAATTGTATGCTTGCTTGGTTATTTGTGTTTATGATAGTTTGTATCAATTTATCTATTCACATTCCTGCTGATTTCATCTCAGTAATGTCATTGGCGTTTCTGTGAACTCTTAATGTTAGAAGTAATAAAAGTTCTGAAGGCACTTTTAGATGGCTCAATGTTCAAGCCGGATTTTCATTACCACTTGAATTCTTGTTGCTGTTGCTCAATTATTGGTTGCATGCAAGTATTCTTCTTTTACTTTTATGAAATTCTTCACATTTTTGTTCGTAAAGATTTATGCTCCTGGAAGATTATGTTTTAACTTCCGGAAGTGTTTAAACTGGCATTAGAATTTCTTTTACTTGAGAGGTTTGTCAAGATGCTGTGGTTGTCAGCTAGATCTATGTATTACTTGTATAAAATTATTGAAAAATGTTCAGGAAGCAGGAAATAAGTGGGAACCTTTGTAAATGGAATGTCATTCTTCAATTCAATTGCTTTCATTTGTTGGGATATTATTTATAAGTTTAGTTATTTGTAAATTGTGAACTGCCACTCTGAGTTGGGGTTCTAACTTTCTCGGCCAAAAAACAAAGGAGTTGGGGTTCTAACGTTATTTTTCATGTATATAGCATATGCATCTTATTCTTATCCATTTCCTTGTTTTCATTCACCCTTTGTAAAGTCTAATAGCTGTAATTTTTCCTAGTCCTTGCCAATATCTGTGGTAAAGGTTCAGTCATACTCTCAAGGCTGACGTTTTTTATTTTCAGTTAAAAATTCTAAGACTAATGTTTGAGAAATGACCAGCGGTTGAATTTTCTTACAAAACTCAAATTTCAAGCGATATAAAAAAAAAAGATTATCTAAATAATATTTTAAAGTTTAGTGGCATATTTGAATTATCAAATTTGATGTAAAGCATAAATATTGACATTTTTAATCCCCTGGCTCTTCGCTAAGTTTTCATTACTTCAAATAAGTTTGGATGTTACCACTTACCACATGCTTTAGAGTTCATTTAATTTATGTGAAACTTGGTGGGTTAGTGGCAGGTCAGAAAGTAGCAACTGATGCAGTTATTACACCATTTTAGTGCAAAAGAGGTGTTTTCTGTAGTCAATGGTATGTCCTCAATTCAAGAGGTTTTAAGTTTCACCATGATATCTTTTCTATGACTAAGCAGTTTTCAAATCTTATAGCCACCATTTTAGATGCATAGGATAGGTTTAAAAAATCATTATTGATGTTATAATTTCTCCTTCAGTAGGTCAGTCTCTGTGGCTAATGTGCTTGGTATTGGGGAGTCTTGTCTGTGCTTGGGAGGCCGCCCTGCATTTCAAGAAATTGCTGATATTCAAAACTAGAATCCTTTAGTTATCAAGAGTTTATGATCTTTTAACGTAAAGTAGGTTATATGTTAATTAGAAGTGGGGATTTCCAATTGGTTACCCACTTCCAGTTAATGCTGTATACAGTTGGTGCAATGAACATTCAATTCTGTGATCTGTCTGTTATTTATACTATCTTCTGCAATTTATAATCTCCAAATGTAAGCTTAAAATGCTATACTGTGTACTGTGATATTTTTGCTTTCCAATTTTCATGTGTTATTTTCTTTTGTTGAATTAGACTTTGCATACTAATCCATGTACATTCGGAAGCTTTTGCAGTATGAGTCACTCGTATTGGACCCTCTAATTTTTGTGTCATCACTTTTCTGTATCATCAGTTGGAGAATTCTAACTTCCTGTTGCAATTTTAGTCATTAAGGGCAACTCTAGATAAGCACATTAAGTTATACTTTATGTTGCTTGACTTGTTTGATTTATGTTGCAAGTAAGTAGTCATAGATAATACCTATATGAAAAAATTAGTAAAAATATAGGTAGCTGTATCATGAGTGATTATATCAAGCTATCTACTTTCTCCAGCTTATATATTTCTGCCAGATCAGGTTTATAGTTTGTACAAAGCAAAACTGATGGAGACTTGAGTATTATGGGATGCCTAAGGCCCATACCATATAGGATCCCTAATGGGGCGGTTAAGTTTGAGTTAATTCTCCCACTTTAATTGCTAGCTTTTGGGGGGAGGGTTCCCCATCCACATGAGTGCCCATCAAAATCTTCATGCCTGGCTAAGCTAGAACATTGGAGTAAACAATCTGAGTCTTGCCCTAGCTGTTCAAGTGTTCTTGCTATGTTGAAGTTGAACTAGTTACTAGATCAACTATATACATAATTTATAGCAGTATATTTAGTTTATGTGTTTTTATGATCAAGGGTACTATATTTGCATAATACTACATTATATTTTATTTCTCTGCCTAATTTAGTTTTGGATGATCCGATTTCTTGCATTGGAATTGATATTGCCTACAGATATCACGTTCTATATCAATAAAACACCCACAAGCTTGGGATATTGATCTATAATTTTCCCAAGATCACAAACAATGGATTTCAATTACATACAATTGTTCTGCAATTGTTGCCTAGGTATCATCTATTGAGGAATCAGATTTTGATGATAACCGTATCTATATCATTCAGCTTTTAATCACTAAGCCCCAGCCTCTTCATGTATGAAGGAGATGCTGAGGGGTCAGGTGTTTTCTATGGCTTTAAGCAATTGTTTTCTTTTTGTGGTCAAGTTCATGATTTTTTTTTTCAGCCAGTTTCTGTCCTTTTCAGCAATTAAATAGGGAAAAAGAGAACATGTTTATTGCTGCTAGATGTTTATGAACTGAAACCAAATAAATTGCCGGTTGTATACTGGAATTTTCTGGCCCATTGTTCCATTATATGTTGGGAAGAATATATTTTCTTTGAAACTCAGGTGAGTGATGGTTTTCCAGAACTTTCTAATGCTGCAAATTAATCTACTCAATGTTTCTAATGATGCTTTTCATCTTAATTATATCTCTTAATTTTAAGTTAACATTTTGAGTTATCAAATTCTTTAACAAATTGAAGGTTTAGATTTGCATGGAACTGAAATCATGCCACTTTCCACAATTGATGTACATGATTTCTTGACAATTCTGCTTTATTGAAGTGCAGATTCAGCAAGAGACAGTTTCCTCCAAGTTTTTGAAAGGAAGATGCAGGAAAAGCACAGACAGTTGAAAGAAAGTGGTAGACATCTGATGAGCATTTTTAGCTTATATAAAATGATGGAATATGTTGCTGATAATATTTGTGAATCTCTCTCATGATCCATCTATTATCATCATGAGGTTAATGATGCAATTCCTTTCTTTTTCTCTCTTCCTGGTGTTTTAAGGGCGAGAGTTAGCTGTTTCCTGGGCTCTATGTGCTGTCTGCCTTGTTGGCCATCTTTCTCATTTCCTTGGAGCGAAGGCACCATGGATCCATGCATTTCATTCTACTGGGTTTCACCTATCCCTGTCTTTGTTTACATTGGTTGGCCCAGGGCGTCAACTTATTCTTGATGGCATAAGAAGCCTTCTTAAAAACGCACCAAACATGAACACCTTAGTTGGTCTTGGGGCTTTGTCATCATTTGCTGTCAGCTTATTGGCTGCCTTGCTGCCAAAATTGGTAAAATGCCTTGTGATAAAGTTTTTTATTACTCGACTGCAATTTTGAATGCATTTACTAGCCAAATAGCATTTAATAACTCAAATTCTTTTTTTAAAATAACAATGAAGGAATTTAATATCTAACAAGGACCTTGAACAGATTGGTACTTGTTAAAATAATAACTTTACTTGTTAATTTGTTAATGTTTACTTGTTAGAAATTCTTGATAGATATTAAATTCTTTCAGGGACCTTCATTGATAATTTCCCTTTAAAAAATAAATGGGTACATTACAGTTTTACCTCTCTATAATCTGGAGCAGAATCACCAAAATCATTTTTACCCTTGTGATTTGAAGTGGGTAATTTAACACTCTTGAGATTTGTTTAACTATCATTTAGTCACCTGTTGTATTATACATCTGAATTAACAAAAAATAAGCATATGGATGTCAAAAAGATAAATAGGTTCATTGTTAAATGAATGTTTCATAATATTTTAATATTATTGCTGACAAGTCCAACTTCGAAATGTCGGCCTAATCCCATTAATCATAAGGACTGAAACTGTTTATCATTTTAACTTTTGCTTGAATGTTAAGAATAAAAATACCATGAGGTGGTTAAGTGGTAACAAAACTGATAAAACTTGGAAAATTACGAAAAGCAGATATAGAAAACAAGATAGAAGCCTGTATTAGAGAAATGAGTGCAAGAATCTTAGACACTCAAGTAAATCAGTCCATGGTACACCAATTAATTACTTCTTCAATGCCTCTTCCTATTTTATAACTGTTATTTATAATTTTCCAATACCAGAATGTAGGGATAAGAGTCACTAAAAGATATTAAAAGCAAGGAAATAATTCTCCACTAACTTGAATAATTTCTCACCTCATGACAGCCCGCTAATTTCCCACTTAGGCTATGATAGAACCCCACTTCTCTTGCAATGCCATTTCTTCCCACTGTCTACCTGTTGCATTACGGTCTTGTATCAAGCTATCAATGAAATAAAACATTAAGGACCTAAATGAGGTGCTTTTAAGTCCTAAGAGGCAAACTAATTTTGACCTGCACCATGGAGAGAATTGAACTGTAATTTACTCTACCCAGATAGAAATATCAAATTCTTTACGCACACTGTTTAGTTCAGTTGGCTTTTGCATATTTTAACTTGATTCTTTGTCATCTAAATTTGAGCTCTAAAAGTAATATTTTGCATGATCTGCTATGGTAGTTTTTGGGCTCCTTCTTCAGCCACTAATTAACCTCTTTTCTTGTCAGCCACTTTGTTATGACTTGAACATGTCTAATTAGTATTTGTTACAGCGGCTATAGTTCTTCTGATTACGTGTCTAATTCACAGATTAAAATATCTAAACCCTTGGTTTCTTAAATTATGTTGGGTCTCGTAGACGTTCTGAATTCTACTGTATGATATAACAATGCATGGTAATAAAAATCCTATTTGTCTCTGCTAAGATTTACATTGATATTATCAGTTTTTGTCTTGTCACTGGGTTTATTGAATTTAATCAATACATGTCTTTATTTTCTTATGATGTGTCTTATTCACATTATTCTCATAAGGAAAGAGAACCAAATAAGAACTGGTAGATTTCATGGAGCTTCCTCCCATTCTGAAAACAAATTACAAAAGTTGAGCAAAACTTTATTCACTGTCTGCTTTGCGTGCGACATATCAAACAGAAACAAGAAAGTGTATTTGTTCCCTTGAATACATGCAATTTGGCATGCAGTAATAATTGACATGACTATGGATGTGGTAAATGGCATTTCTTTATGCAGGGATGGAAGGCTTTCTTTGAGGAACCAATTATGCTAATCGCATTTGTCTTGTTAGGAAGGAATCTGGAACAGAGAGCTAAAATTAAAGCAACCAGTGATATGACTGGACTTCTTAGTATATTGCCATCAAAAGCTCGTCTTCTGGTTAGCAATGACACCGCGGAGTTTGACTCAAGTGTTGAAGTTCCTTCTGACAGTCTATCTGTTGGAGACCGAATTCTTGTGCTGCCTGGAGTAAGTAATATAGAATCTTCAATTTTCAGGATAAAACTCTGCAGCCCCTTCACCCTTTTGTAGCAGCAGCTTCTATTGTTTATTTTTCCATTATGGCTGGCCAGTAGTAGCCTGTTATGATGTTATGCAATTATTATAAATAAGAAGAGAATTAAGAATTAGTTAGGATTTAAATAGGCTTATATGACATCTTGAAATTGACTAATAAATGCAAAGACATAACAGTGGTACTTGTGTGCTTGTCCTCAAACAGTGGGAAATGGAAAAGGGAGACAAAACGTGGGGAGAGGTGCAGAGATAATTTATCTTTTTAAATTGCATTATTATCCGTCCCAATCTGCCTTGCTTTTAAAAGCTACTGTCATCAGTAGAAGTATTTATTTTATATCCATATAATACTGTGGATGGCAGCAAGGCTAATACAAGTTAGAACTAAATGCAAGTATGATGCTGTTTGTGCAACAAAACTATTGCTAATATTGGTTAGACCACATCGTGCTTGAATTGTAATGAGCAACATTCATAAAATATTTGTTATGGCTCCTTTGGGATATTTTTTAATCCATACAGTCTTACTCTCTAGGATCGTATTCCAGTGGATGGAATTGTCAGAACTGGTAGAAGCACTGTAGATGAGTCAAGTTTTACTGGAGAGCCTCTGCCAGCAACAAAAATACCTGGGGTATTCATTCTTTCTCAACATATTTATTTGAATAAAAAATTATTTGCCTTTTGACTTTACTTGTAGGTCTTGCTTGTTCCTCTATATATGGGTCTATGGTGCAATCAGCGTTTGCAATTTCATCAGGACGATGTATGTTCATAAAAAAAGACAAACCATTGGACTTTCATTTGTCATCTTGTATGGTTGCATATGTACTAGTTAAGGGAACTCTTTAATGATATTCTGGGGTCATTTAAACAATCTATTCCCATTCCTAGAGCTGTGGCAGTACTATAATTAATTTAATTGTGACTGTGTAGGATTTTGTATATGCAGAGTCAGGTTGCTGCTGGGAGCATAAATCTAAATGGCACTCTTACAATTGAAGTGCAGAGACCAGGCAGCGAGACTGCCATGGGAGACATTGTTCGTCTAGTTGAAGAAGCACAGAGTAGGGAAGCTCCAGTTCAACGTTTGGCTGACAAGGTTTTCTTATTGAATCTTTTATCACCTTTATGGCCATCATATTATGTTTCTGCAATAAGGAATCTGGCCAAATCAGGTTCTTCAAATTGTAAATCTTGTTTACAATTTTAGTTATTGATCCCTGCTGGCTTTATCTTGAAAGAAGGTATAGTCTGGCTAAGATGCCTAAAATGGCAAAACCTTGTTAATATTAGACATTATAATGTGGTATATTTTTCCTTTTATCTATCTTGTTTCTTCTATCCATAGTTCATCCTTTTGTGATTCTTTTTCTTCTTGGAAATTTCACTTTTTGAGGAATGTTAATGATTAGATGATGAATTAGAAAGCTCTCTATTTTATGGCATTTACTGCTGTATCTGGTTGGAGTGGAATTTAGGAATTTCTCGAGGTCATTTGTATGCCTTACATGTATTATGAGAATGGGATAGGAATAGGATTGTGTTCATGCCCTCTCCTTGATTTCTATTCACTTAATTTTTGTAACACTATTTTGCAATTAGGTGGCTGGACACTTCACTTATGGAGTAATGGGTGCTCTGCAGCCACATTTACATTCTGGAGTCTGTTTGGCACACGCATTTTACCTGCTTCTCTTTATCAAGGAAGTGCACTTTCTTTGGCATTGCAACTTGCTTGCAGTGTTCTGGTATGATTTTCAAAAGTTGTATATGAGCCTTACATTCCAATGATCTCCTTTGAGGCATGAGGAAGCTTGTGCATAATTGTCTTCCTTCATACCCTGTCAGCAACTTAAAATACTAAATCCCATTTTTGCTCTGATATGATGCCTTTATCTATTAGAAGTTGCTTTTTGACATGGTATTGGACTTATTTTAACCTTTATTGCTCATATTTATGACATTAATTCGATTTCAGCGCATTGTGGTAATAGGCTTTTGCTATATACATGCTGTAAGCCCAACATGTTTTTCTATGGGACAGCATATAGTAACATTGAATTCATTGCTTGGCCCTCCTGTAAGATTGGGTGGTTCAGCATTATGTTATTGAAGTATATTATTTAATTGAAGCTCCGAAGATCTTAATTCATCATTCTATTTTTGGCTATACACATTGGAAATATCACTTATTTGTATTTTGAATGAAATGTTTCATATATTGTTGGAGGCATTCAAAGATAAAGAATTTATAACTGCATTAGAATGAGGAGTAAAACATCAGATCTAGTGGATCAAATGCTATGCCACATGTGAAGACAGGTTTATTAGATTAGCTATGTTTCTGATTTAATTTGGTTGTTTCTTTACTTATCTATTATTTTTATCTGTTTGTTACTTTCTTTATTATTTAATCTTAAGCGTGTGGGATTCGAGCCTTATTCCGCTTTCTCTGGTTTTGAGTTCACAAATCTTCAAAACCGAAAATTCCTTCTAGTCTTGGGTACAAACTACAAAGGGATCTACTTCTATGCCTGTTAATATGGGGTCAAACTCTTTGTTTAAATTGCAATGTTATTTATTTATTTATTTCGAGACACATATCATGTTGCCTCTTTTTTCCCATTTAAAAAGATTAGATGACATAGAAAATAAGCTTTCTTAAGGAATTCATTGTTGGGAATCACGTTTAACTTGTGATTATTTGTTGCAAATCACAATGGACATATGGATGTTCTCAGGCTTTAATGTCTATTTGTTTCCTTATTGTGAGGCTTTAATGCCTTTATTTGTTTCCTTGTTTTCTGGTTGAGTAAACATTTTATTCCTTCCTTATGAGATGATAATCAGACCTTAATTAGTTCTTTAATATACTCTGTTTCTATGGTTTTTCCTTTTTTGGAGGGTGTGGACCTGTCCACACTTCTATATTTTTCCCCTGATCAGAAGAGAATCTGAGCATTTACCATAGGAGATTATTTACCGTAATTTGACACAGGTTGTTGCTTGTCCATGTGCACTCGGGTTGGCCACACCTACGGCTGTACTGGTAACATTTTCAAAGAAACTGCATCTCTTATCCCCATAGTTATTATCACTTGCAGACAAAGGCTTACGGTATCAATTTGCTATGTGTGTTTAACAGGTTGGAACTTCTTTGGGAGCTACAAGAGGATTACTTTTACGGGGTGGAAACATTCTGGAGAAGTTTTCAATGGTAGACACTGTTGTATTTGACAAAACAGGGACCTTGACTATTGGTAGACCTGTTGTGACAAAGATTGTCAATACAAGTGGACAAAACAAAAACTTAAGGTTGAGTGAGACACACATGTTCATATGAAAAGAGATACTGTTACAAAGATATTGACTTTCACTTGATTTTCATCCCATTTTGATAATATAAAGAGGGAGGGGAGTGTGGAGAAGATACAGAATTAATTGTGGAGAGGCTAAGCCTCTCAAATGCTCGAGTATGGTGGTGTATTCTCTGTTTTGCTAGTTTCAATCGTTTGTGTGATTTTGTAGCTGTAATTCCACTGAGCTAAACCTTAATCCTTGCATTGGGCAGGGATGACCTCATTTTATTCCATAAATAATACATATTAGAGCCAAGTTCCATCAGCATATGCATATCTGTGCTTGTGGCATTGAGAACATTTCAAATAGAATTATTTTCCATGTTTGTTTTCTTGTAATCATCTTTTGGAAAACTTGTTTTACTCCAAAACCTGAAAATTTATGTTCAAGTGGCATCAATTTTCTGAAATTATGTAAGTTTTTGGTGGAATAGCTATGCAATTAAAGGTACTGGTATATTACATGGTTAATGTAGGCAAACTGCATACAATGATTGGTCAGATGTTGATATTCTGATGTTAGCTGCTGGAGTAGAATCAAATACGGTACATCCAGTTGGTAAAGCAATTGTAGAAGCTGCTCGAGCAGTTAATTGTCATAATGCAAAGGTGCTCGTCTTATCGCTTGACGTTTTATTTAAGCTTCACTATAACTATTCGCCATAGTTATTTCTTAGAACTTAAGTCTTTCATAACAGCCCAAGCCATTCATGTTTCTTTTTTGTTGATTTCAGACATAAAATTTCCAATAAGCTTTTGATCTGCAACTTGTCTCCCAGTTAGCATGGATGATATATTAGCTGGTCATATTAGTTTTTTTTTTGTTTTATTTTATTTTTGGGTTGGGGGCAGGGATTTACTCTAGAGATCATTGTATCCTGGCTTGTACATGATTTCTTCACAAATATATCACAGTTTTATTTCACTTTTTTCTGAAACAATTTGATAAAGGAGAGTTATAGCCATTCTATTCTCCCTGCTGGTTTTTACTTGAGAAAATTGTATACTTGGAATCTCTAAGAATTTGTTGTTGGAAAAAGATCAAAAGACCATTGGAGCATGTCTAGACAATTGTAGTAAAAGTTATGTTATTCATATTGCAAATATTTTCTGTGGTTTTTATACCTCTCTTGGACTTAGGATATTTGGCCATCCCCTGTTGGCATGAAGATCACTATCTGTCTTGCCTATTCCCCCCCCTCTTTACCAGCATCTGTCTTGGCTATTCAGTTGCCCTTTTTTGGCGGCTGACATGCCAGTTAGTAGCAATAGCATAGAATACATTGTGTTTTTCTCCTTTTCTACAGAGAATATCTTTTTTCTATAAGAGATTTAGGAATAGAATTGATGGTAGAGTACTTCATTGGTAGATATTGTAAAGTAGATTATATTGTTAGTTAGGTGTCATTTTATATTCTGGTTGCTATGCTTGTCTTCCTAAATTGATCAAAAAACATCTGTCAGCTTACATGCAAATTGGGCAGGTAGCAGATGGAACGTTTTTGGAAGAGCCTGGGTCTGGTGCGGTAGCAATTATTAACAGCAATAAGGTTTCAGTTGGGACATTGGAATGGCTCACAAGGTATTCTAAGTTAGGATGTTCCTCTGATTTATACATGTTCTCTCTAACGTTGCTTTATTTAAATGGGAAAACTTCTTTCAATTGGTAGCAGTAAAGCCAGAAAATTTATTTGTATTTAGATTCATTCAATGGTTCATAGGAGCCTTCAATTGTATTTTATGAAAGTACCGAAAAAGTATTTTTTGTTCTTTTTTTTTAATTTTCAAACCACCAATGGGTGATATCCTTTGCGCAGGCAGGGAGTTAACAAAAATATTCATCAAGAAGTTGAGGACTATAGAAATCAGTCTGTTGTTTATGTGGGAGTAAATGATACTGTAGCTGGCCTCATATATTTTGAAGACCAGATAAGGGAAGATGCAAGACTTGTTGTTGAAGCTTTGTCTACACAAGGAATTGGTGTTTATATGCTCTCTGGAGACAAAAGGAGTACAGCTGAGTATGTTGCATCTGCTGTTGGAATTCCTAAAGAGAAGGTGAAAAAATTCTAGGCAAACGTCTACACATTCCTTCACAAATTTGTGCATTTGTAAGGTTGAGATTTTTGGTGACATGCTCAATAACTTTAGATAACTATTGATAAGCTAGAAAAAGGATTACTTGGGAGCATCATTAAGCGCCATATCGTCTGATAGCAAAACTATTTCACTTGGTCAATTGGTTTCATATTAACTAGTTGAAAGAAAAATGAATAGTTTATCAACTTATTGGCCAATTTGAATTGAAGGTGACTGCAGCTATGAATAAGCACCAAACCATACCATGGACTGGATCCTGGTTAGATTATCCTGTCTGGTTATAAGAACTTTGGTTCTACATATCCAAAGCATTTGCCTCACTCGCATTGAATCTTCAATTACTTGATTTGTCATAAATTTTTACTTATTTATCTATAACAGCTAACATTGAGTCCTAATTCAATCCCTATTACTTGGATCTTGACGTACTTGTGATTTTAGGATTCACAAATAACTAGGAACAAACTTTAGGTTGATTAGATTCCTCTGGGCAAAACTATGGGAGTAATGCCCGATATGCATCAAGGCATTTTTTTGCCCCTCTTTAGGTGAGGGGGTTTGCCTTTTTAAGACAGCTCAGGGAAGGGATCAACATCAAGATAATTTAACTATAACAAGCAAAAAAGATAAATAAACAAACAAAACGTTAAGCAGTCAATTGATTCCTATGAATTTATAATCTGGAACCTACCTCCTCACGCAGAAGTCTTCTGGCTTGAAAGTGTGGACAATGCACAAACCAACCATGCCTTGTGCTGAAATTTAATTTTAGGTAATAGGTAACAATAAGGTTCAAACTCTTGATCGATTCATCATAAAAGATTTGATTCCGTGTCATTGACTAGTTCAACTCAAAAGTTTTAACTATCAAGTGTAGGATGATAAGTAGTTTTATTATAATTACTAACACTTTCAAGTGAGTTCTGACAAACATGAAAACTTGAGCCAATTTATTTCTTTATTTCTGCTCCTCGTTTTAGCTATGACGTGAAATCTATCTGCCCAAAAAGCTCTCAACTTGTGAGTTTTATTTACACAGAAGCATTGAGTTGGTAGTTTAGGTTAGTTGTATTAGACTCTAAAGTTCAGCTCCTGTCATACCATAGATAATAAATATTTTCTCCCATTGTTATTTTTTGAGGATTTCTTTTTTGGTTTACTGAATAACTGGATGTCACATATTTTGTCAATTGTAGGTGCTATCTGGAGTGAAACCAAATGACAAAAATAAGTTTATAAATGAACTCCAGAAACATCAGAAAGTTGTTGCTATGGTGGGCGATGGGATCAATGATGCAGCTGCGTTGGCTTCGTCACATGTCGGTATTGCATTGGGTGGAGGTGTTGGAGCTGCTAGTGAGGTGTCTTCTATTGTACTGATGGGCAACAGGCTCTCACAGGTAATTTGTATTTACCTCAGATTCTGTTTGAATAGAAGTTTCTTCCATTTCCTGGAAACTAAGTTAATTTTTATGTATTATTGCAAGGTTATTTTTATTATATTTTTTTGATTTTTATCTGTTAATCATGCAAGTTAAGTTGCTTTAAAGCAGTACTATCTGGCAAAATATTACAGGAAAATGTTTGTGTTGAATATCTGGATGTAATTATGTCCAGATTATTTGTATATCTGTTATATTTTGCTGATTTCTAGGAGACTTGTTGACAGTTTCCTATGTATATATACCTCTGTTCTTGTCGGATTTGGTAAATTTCAGAGAATTCAATCTAAATCTCCTACAGTTTTCTCTTGTGCTGAAAGAAAGCTGTTTATCACATGGGCTGAGTTTGCATTTCCTTTATGTCAAGAAACAAAACAATGCATAAGGCACATAACGCGCGTTTTTTCCTGTTGATATATTTCTTCCAATAACGGAGATGTGTATTGGCTCCTAAATGATTTACATCCATGCAGCTGCTTGATGCATTGGATCTTAGCAGGCTTACCATGAAGACTGTGAAACAAAATCTTGGATGGGCTTTCCTATACAACATTGTAAGTTCTGCAATGGAAACTTGATCATATCAATATAGTTTATCATTTATATATCTAAGAATTTTCCTTGTCATCAAGTGAATGCCGTCTTTGTCACTCAACTTTCCTTTTTTGAGAATATTCAGAAAGAATTTAATTTCAGATTTGTTCTTTTTACAGAAAACAACTTGTTAAAATTTATAAATGATTTGCTTATGCAAGTTGACACTAGTGGTTGTAAGGATCCAGATAAGCCTTGTACCTCCCTATGGGTTCAGATCCTCCTATGAGTATGACCAGTCAATGACCCTTAGTGGTTCGCGACCGGCCGTACCTAGTGCATGGGTGTCAAGGCCCTTTGTAGCAAGCTATTAGGTTGGGCGAAGAGTCCTTCAAGAGAGAATAAGCTTTTCCATCCCAAATGGTGGAAATTGTGTGTCAAATTTGAAGCCTTTTTTTTTTTTTTTTAAAGAAAATTATATCCTCCGTGGCAATTATCATCCATTACCATAAGTTAACTGCTAACCTGAAAGTTATCATCAGTCTCGTGTTAACATGGTTCTTATTTCTTAGTGAGCTAAGAGTGTTAGGTCAGTTGCGACATCTCATTTCTGTCATAGCCATGCCGCATGGGCTGAGTTTCTGACTAGCATTGCCAAAAAGAACTTTGAGGACTTGAATTTCTATCTTTTGGTTTCATTCTGCTTGTTGAATTTAAACATACCTACCACTTGATTTGCCATCATCAACTATTTTGGTGTAATTTAAAATTTAATCGGTATGTAGGTTGGGATTCCAATTGCTGCGGGATTGTTACTTCCAGTTAGTGGGACCATGTTGACTCCGTCAATTGCAGGGGCTCTCATGGGCTTGAGTTCCATTGGAGTAATGACAAACTCGTTACTTCTAAGATACAGATTTTCCACAAAGCAAAAACAAATCCATGGGGTATCCCCAAAGATCGAAACCCATGCAGATAGTGATCTTGCCCAAAAAGAGAAATTGAAATATGGACAGTAAAGTGGTAGAAGGTAGATGGTACAAGATGGAGGCACAAGAACGGAAAACAGGACACAGTTTCCCAATCCTGCTTTTGGGTAGGGACATTCTTATTTATCAGCAAGGATATATAGACTTTCTTCTGCTTTTGCAGTGATTTTTCAGCTTTGGTTCTCTGAAGAATGAAGAAACTTGCAAACTAACAAGTATGATACTTTTTCCGATCCAATAATTAAAGAAATAGAAGCAGTCAGCTGAGATCACTATTGAGATGTGAACTAGAGCATGCTTGCGTATGGGGTCCAAGTTCAGGATGAGGTGTGCAGTGTGCTGATGGGATATGATACTGCAGGCCCCAAACCCAGAATTTTAGATTTCTTTATAGCAATGTTTAAAGAGTATTTGTCAGAAGATTACACATTCATTTTTATAATATTCATAATTCTTTTCTTTCCTTTGCTGGCAATGGCGAAATAGAATTCAGTCATTTTCAAAAACACCATCTTTAAGAGCTATTCTGGCACATTTATTCATAGCTTCTCAAGATTAAACTAACCCCTCTTGAAAAACAAACAGAGAACACAACAACAGAAATAATAGAGGGAGAAATCGAAACTCAGGAAGGAAAATGCAAGAGAGGAAGAGAGATGCTTGAAAACTCCGGCTATGCACTGGATTCATGCGCGCGCGTAGCTATTTATAGGCACAAACAAAACAACACCGATGGCACCATTAATTTGTCGTTTAAGCAAAATTAAACCACCATTAAGTACAAGTTTCTGCATGTTGGCAACTTAAAACAAATTAAGTAAATCAACTTAAGGCAATAATGAAGATAATTTCCTGTTAATGAATGATAAAGCCTCTGCTTATGAGGGTTGAGGAATTCACATTCGAAATATGTAAATTTAAGGATTTTCTAGTTAGCCTTTCAAAATAAATTTTTAAATTTTTTGGCAAAAATATTTTCACAAAAAATGCCCAACACCATATCTATATCACACGCAAGGAAGTGAATTGTCAGTTTTCAATTGAGTTGGCCAACATTGGCTCGTTTTCATGCATGCGAGACCTCTCCTCTACTATCATTTCTTGGTACTCGTATACTAGAAGCTTTTCTCATGTAAACAATTTGGGACTTAATCTTTTGTCGCACCCAAAAAAAACTACAATAGTCACTTGCATTTGTCAAAGGAACATTATCATCTAAGTTATAATTATTTGTAATTGAAGTTAAAGAATCCAAATGGATCACCATATTCTCACATTTGTAATTCAAGTTAAAGGATAAAAAATGGTTAGAATATTTGTAACACCCTCCAGAAATAATAATTCTAATAAAATATAGAAAAAATTAATTTTTTTAATTTTTCAATTTTTAACTCATTTATAACCTAATCCATCAACTATAACTCATTGTAATTTAATTTCTCAATTATGACTCGCTACGACTCAGTTTTTTAACTTTTGATTCACTTATAATTTGATCCTTATTTTCAATTTTCTTTAAAAAATTATCCTTATCAAATAACAAAGATAAAAAAATTCTCATATATTGCTTTAAAATATTTTCCTCTTGCTCTTTGATGTGAAATATAAACTAACATGAAAAAAGAAAAATAACAAAGGTTGAGGGACTAAGTTATAAGTGAATCAAAAGTTGAGAAACTGAGTCATAGGCGAGTCATAATTAAAGGACTAAGTCGAAGTGAGTCATAGTTGAAGGACTAAATTATAAGTAAGTTAAATATTGAAGGATTAAAAGATTAATTTTTTTTAAAATATAAATATACTTAAAAAATAATCACATTTTTATTAGAATTATAAAAAATAATCACATAAATATAATATTTTTTGTCATTAGGGAATTAAAAAATGACTAAATTACCCTCAAATAAAACAAAAACCTCAAGCTTCAATGCAGAGTCATTCTTGCACGTTATTGCCTTTGCTTTGTCATCTTGTTTTCCTCTTCTTCGTGTTCTTCTTCTGGTTCATCTACTTCTCCTTCTCCTTCTCGTCTGCCTTCACCTCCACTTTCTTTCAGGTATTAAACCTATATCCACTTACTTCCCTCCCTTTTCTTCCTCTACTTTCCAACAATACAGTTTAGGAATTCCATTATTATGTTATCATTAGACTATGCACTTACAGTCATGGAGATCGATTCAAGCTTAAATTGATCTTTTGAAATTGGTATGACTGATAGTTAATATTAGGGTTTTGGCCTCAATTCCTTTCTCTCTTTCTTTTTAACACTATGACAACCTTACTGTTAACATCTGTGTTTTTCTTGCTTTTTTAATTCATCACTGTGCTGTTAAAACCAAGACTAAAAATGACTTTTTGAAATAGAAAAAATTAATACGGTATCAAAATTATTTTTTCCCAACATGGTGATAGGCAAAGGCTTTGGTGCTGTAATTTCGTGATTCTATCTTCATGATTGAAGTTTTTATTTTCTCTATTGTATGTGGGTATAGATGTTTACTCATAAATAAATGATATATCATTTTCAATTATGTTATAAATGTATAAACTAAAGTTATGAATGGCCAATACAAAATTATGAATATAAGAAAAATAACTATTATTGGATAAAATATAATAGATATGTGATTATGATGTTTGAGAAATAAACATGTTGATGAATGACTATTTCATTATTTCAAGTTGGCATGATAATGGTTTCTTTTGCTTCTAATTTTGGAAAGGAACTATTTTATTATTTCCACAAAGGGGAACATTTTGTAAAAAAATATTGAAGGTAAAATACAATATGATGGGGAGTGTGAGGATAAAAAGGATAAGAGAAGGGATGACACTAGAAGATTCAACCCTTCATATTTTTTTATCAAAAGTGTTGTAGGGTATTTTGAAACAAGTTATAGATCATGTAACTGACAACAAAACCTTAAATAGTTGTCACTTTTTAAAATTTTTCTATCATTTATATTAATGAAAGTTGTTATTCTTTGAATTAGAGTGGTAATTTATTTTTGCTAATTTAATTAATTTACAAAGGGTACTAATAAATTACAATTCCTTATTACATTGTTGCGAATCTAGGGACAAAAGTTGTTAACATAGGAATAAAAGTTGTGAATTTTTAACACCTAATACATATCAGGACCTGCATATACAGAGTTGCGAATGGCTATCAAATTATTATAAATTTAAAAATAAAAATTCTTAATATAGGAACAAAAATTGTGAATGAAAAGTTGTAAATTTTTAACAACTAATATATATCATGACCTGCATATATAGAGTTGTGAATGACTATTGAATTGTTACGAATTTAAAAACAAAAATTATTAATATAAGAACAAAAGTTGTGAATTTTCAACACTTGATGTATATCAAGACCTGCATATACGGAATTGCGAATAATTATTGAATTATTGTGAATTTAGAAACAAAAATTATTAATATAGAAATAAAAGTTATAAAAACACCTGATATATATCAGAACTTGCATATATAAAATTATGAATAACTATTAAATTGTTATGAATTTAAAAATAAAAGTTAATATAGGAACAAAAATAGTAAATGAAAAGTTGTGAATTTGTTTAATTTAAATAAAATGCAAAAATGTCATTTCCTTTAATTTCTTAATGATAAAAACATCTCATAAACTCTAGGAGGATTATACCATTTTATAAGCCCAATCTATTATTTATATAATTTAAATAAATTTTTTTATATTTTTTCTATTGAGTATTTAGTTTTCATTTTATTTTTGTGATTCCCATTTCTCTAGTTTATAGGTAAATAATAATAATAATAATAAAGACGAAGGTACATAACGTGGATGAAGGGAATGAGATGATGGGATGTGTATATATATCACATGGGAAAGGAAGAAAACATGGGAGTGATTGATGATGATGTGTACAGTTGTAGACTTTGATCTTTCTATTAAAATCGTATTTAGCTCCCCCCCCCCCCAAAAAAAAAAAAAAAACCTAAGGCCAAAGAGACTTAAAGCCTTGAAAAAAAAGTAAAAATAAAAATAAACAAAAGTAATGGATCAGGATGAGTTGGGTAATCCAGATAACATCGCAGTGGAAAAATGACTTTAGAAGCGTCCCGACCACTTGTTCTCAACTTTGTTCTTTATAAATAGCTGGGGGGACCCTTTTGATGAGGAAGGGGAAAAAAGAGAGTGAAAGTAAAACAAACAAATATATCGTTTTTTAAGATCTTTTTTTTAAATATTTTTCATGCCTTTTAAATATATTAAAATAATAGGTTTAGTTTTTCACTAATATTATTATTTAATCTATATTAAAATTTTTTAGATATTTGTTATTGCTGATGCGCTCATATGCATTATATTCACAAAACGGCACACCTTAGATTGAATAAAATATATATTTTTTCCCTATCTACGAGCGAGAAAAGAGGTATAAGAGAAAAGGACAAATTACACACACATCCCACTCACATGTTAGGTGCTTTAGTAGTAATTTATACTTTTTATATTTGTTATGTGTGATTAGCTTTATTCTTTCTATAATTGTTAGGAATAATTATTTATTACTTTATAGTTACTCATTTAGACTAATAATTCATATCTATTTCTTTCTATAAATATTTGTTACATATACAAATTGTTTCAATTAGTGTAATGATTCATTTTTATTCCTTTCTATAATGTTAGTTATATATGTATATATATGCATTATTATTGATAGTTTGTTTTCCGTTTCGCATAATATATATTGTTTGCTTAAATTTATTCATACTATTTATTCTCAATAATATTATTTATTTATTTTTCTATAGTTGTTAGATATTTATATGTGTGTACGCATTAATATTCATGTTTCAATATTAGCTATAATTATTTAAATCATACATTACCTCCTTAAATTTCTTTTACTTACTCAATTAATATTTATTTTCTTTTGTAAATTATTAGTTTATATATATATATATATATATTCATTGTCATTTAATGTTTAGTTATAGTAATAATTGTTTAATTACTATGTCATCTTTATTTTTGGTATTATGACTGTTATGATTAAAATTATTACTATGATATATGTCTGTGTGTGTATTTTCCAAAGGAATTCCTTTTGTGGAAGAAGATACAAAATAAACCTAATGAAATTTTTAATTAAAAAGAAAATTTGAGTGAAAGAAACTCTTTTGTAAATCTATCCTAAGGAATGCTCTAGTACGATTTCTTGTGATAAAATATGATCGAATTGAATTTCCAGTTGTTTAACAATTATTTTAAGGGGGAATCCCATAAAGGGCCCTAAAAAACACATAATTGCACTTTGGGCTTGAAAGTATAATATTGCAAGCCTTGAGGCCCTTATTGCAATTTTTCTTGAGACCAAAAATATATTTTTGTCCTTTGTTTGACTTGAATTTAAAAAACCTGTGCAAAATCATGAAAGGTTTATGCAGTGATAAAAATTTGAGGAGCC